GGGGTGTCACCCTCCCATTGTGTGGAATTGTTGAAAAGTTGCAATCTAAAAGCACTCAATTTTGGACATTCTTATCATAGAATATCAGGATTTTCCTCCATTCAGGTGCGTGTCGCCCTCCTGTTTAAGGGGGGGGGGGGGTCCGCGGGATTTTGTTGAAGTAACACCTCTTCGATGCAATTTCCTGCACTATGAGGCAGCACTATTAAACAACTTCAGTCACAATAACATCACTGTTGAGTTGAGTATTTTTACCTTAGGGGACACCAGACTAAAATACTTACTACCAAATCTGTACTATGTACATGTCCTCACTATAGGGTTACCAGTGCAGATTTACCTAGGCTAAAATACATTTGCCCTGAAAATTCTAGGGGCGCGACCGCCCGCGTGCTACCGACCCCCGTTGACAACTACAGCACTGGAATCCATCTCCCCTGAAATTTTGATAAAACGATATATTTTACTGAGAACGTTAAAACTCGCAAAAAAATATGAAGAAAAACAACCAGATTTGAACAAAAAAAGTGCATTTTTCTCACCCCTTATACAAAATCAGGATATACTTCTGGTCGGGTCTCAGCACCCCCATCCCCCCAAAAAAGTGAGATAAAATAGAATTTTCCCATTTCAATCCCGTGAAGAATTCAACATCCCAAACTCTCAATAGGTCTATTCTAATTTTGAATAAAGCAAGGATTTAACTTTTCGTGAGCCGTGATAAGACAAAGATTTTGAAAAAAAATCGTATATGCGGGACACCCGATCAAAATTCAACCGGTCTGAGTTTCAGCTAAATAATAATGTCATTCCGTTGGAACGCATTTACAGGCCATTTCTACAGTGCAATGCTATGTCACGTATCCATTTCTGTAAGTATACTCATTAGGAGAGTATGAATAGCGAGTGAACGGATGTTGTTAGATAAATACTCCCAGTATTTTTAGTTGTTCTGTAAAATAAAAAAATTTCCACATTTTCGTTCACTGAAAGTAGGGACGAAAGCCAGTACCCACCTCAATAAGGTGTGGGGGATATTGAACACCGCCATCCCCTGATCCCCCGCTATCTACGCCCCTGTCAGTATAAACTTGCCAAGATTGTGGACTTTGATATGCACTACAAATATTCATAATCCAAAATCATAATCTTTGTTAGCAAGTACTCTAACAGGGCCGCGGCGGAACAATTTGTCTGAAGTGGGGTGCTGCAGATCTTGTTACGCTCGACAGTGGCCAATGCAGGGTTTTCGAGGACGGGCTGGAATGAAACAGGCGGTGGTATGCGGGTCCTCCCCCAGAAAATGTTGCAATCCCACTTTTCTTCCTGACAAGTAGGCGGGGATGATTGTAACAGCCCCGAGTCCACCCCGACGTCAATTTAAGTGGGGGATGCATCCCCCCATCCCCCCCGCTATCTACGCCCCTGGGCTCACATATGCACCCCACAATATACTCAAGAGTAGATAATAACAACTCTGTTATATTATCTAACTGTTATAACTAAAATAACTGTTAAACTAATATAACTGTTAAAGTAATATAACAAACTGTTATATTATCTACTCTTGATATACTGTGTACGCAATAGTTTTCGCGTACAGATATTTTCGCGAATTCAGACTTGACGGACAATTTCGCGAATGGTTAATTTCGCGGTCAGTGAATTATGAATTATGTGGTATTATTCGGTATGAACTATTCGCGTGTTGTTATTTTCGTGGTCGAGAACGCGTTCGTGAAATTCGCGAAAATTAAACTACCGCGAAACATACAGCGTATGCAGTACTACGCATAACGACCCCCCCTCCCCCATCCACACACACACACGCACACACGCGCGCGCGCACCATCCTAGTAAATTAAGCTGGGTGCAATGTGCATGTTTCTAGTAACAATACCACAGCGTGCCGTAAATATAAATTAATGCTGTAGAGAAGCGTCATTGAAACGTCTTATTGCTTGGAACCGTAGGTAGTACAGCACTATCGACGTATCGTTCGCACGCTATTAACGCGTACGCGTCTTCGATTTTTTGCGTCAACATCCATATCAGGAACAGTAATTTTTTTAATATACTACAGCTGTAGTGTAACAATTATTCACTCTATTAGGTCGCATAATAGCGGAATACCACGTCGGAGAGTGTACAATGTAGTTTCGCCGACTTTTCATGCGTCACTTGTTATATCGTTGACGGCTTCGGGAAATCGATAAAAACGCCGGTTAAACCAGCCAACACGCAACGGATTCTATTTCATCGCAACTAGAACACAAATTCTGGAGTGTCAATACAGGGCTCCTGTTAGGTACACAGTGGAATTATGGGTCGAGAATATTATACAGCAGACCCCGCGTAGAGGGAACAGTATAGGCGTAAAACACTGTCAACATGCAGGCTAGACTGTATACGTATAATAACGTGATGGCCATGGGACCAATGACTTAATTATTAAAGTTATACAGCTGACCCCGTGTAGAGAGAACAGGGAAGGTGTACAGTAGTGTCAACATGCTGGTGTAGTACGGCGTTTTAGCTTTGAGATGGAGACATGGGGAATTTGGCACATTAATCATGGAAAATTAGTGTTCAGGGACGGCCGGCCATGGACCCAGAAGACATGCTGAATACTTTAGAGCACACATAATTCAGCGTGAACAGAATACATTTTAGATTAGCTACATACTTTAGAGCACACATAATTCAGCGTGGACAGAATACATTTTAGATTAGCTACATACTTTAGAGCACACATAATTCAGCGTGGACAGAATGCATTTCAGAATGGTACGAACACATTAACTTGCGACGCGACTTTAAGAATGCGACGCGGTTTACCAAACGGCCATCATTAAACAGACAAATTCACAGACACATTAAGCAGACAACGTCAACTGTGGTCGACGCTCCTACCTGGTACCTTCGAACATTAGTCGCGACCGGTCATTATATCCACTACCCGCGCCATAAATTAGTTTAATAGTTGTCACCGTTTATACAACTGTTACGTCCTACTGTCTACGTTAGAGATATATTCATCACTACACAGGCTAGCCTGTGTATGTAATAAAGTGATGACCGTGGGACCAATGAGTTAATTATTAAAGTTATCCATCAGGTTGCAGTGACAGATTCATGGGTCACCGTGGAGACATCACACCCACCCACACACACACACACACACACCCACACACACACACACACACACACACACACACACACACACACACACACCACACAATCACACACCACACCACCCACACCACACACAACAGCACACACACACCACACCACACACACACCACACACCGCACGGCACGCACGCCCATTACGCAGCACACGCACCAGCACACACTGGCCACACCACACGCACACAAGCACACACACCACACACACACACTGCTCTCTCTCTCTCTCTCTTCACACACACCATGCCCCACACACAACACACACACACACAACACACATACAACACACACACGGCACGCACGCACGCACGCAGCGCACGCACGCACGCACAACACGCCCACGCACGAAACGCACGCGCACGCAGCGCACAGATGCCAGCGCAGGCAGGCAACACACCGCACACATACACACGCACCGCCGCCACGCACGCACGCACGCATGCACACAACACACACACACTTCACGCGCCACACACACACACACACAACACACACATACGCCACACGCACACACGGCCACACACACACAGCACGGCACGCGCACAGCCGCACGCACACACACAACACACACGCACACACACACACACACACACACACAAACACACGCACACGCACACACACACGACCACACACACACACACACACACGACACACACAACACACACACTATATATATATATATATATATATATATATACGGATGTGGATCACGTCTGTGACAGCACAGAACGTAAACAGACCCGCAGACCGGAAAATACCCGCATTCAAATTACACACGAGGCGCGCGCGCCTAAACATTGACTCTGGATATGTGAATGTGTGTGCGTGTGTGTGTGCGTGTGTGTGTGCGTGTGTGTGTGTGTGTGTGAGAGAGAGAGAGAGAGAGAGAGTGTGTGTGTGTTTTTGAAGACCGCATAAACAACACACACAGACGCACGCACGAATGAATACAGGTGTACGTATGCACAACCACGCACGCACGGACGCACACGCATGATAGGCAACCTTGAAAATGGTATAACTGGACGTGAAGCATGGTCAGCACAAATAAGCCATATCGGAAAGTCCCCGCCAAGAAAAGAGGGGTATAAACAGCCCTTTTATAACATGGGTAGTATAGGACTATTCTAGGTTAACGACGTACTAGTGTAGAAGAAGACGGAGGCTGAGTGAGGGACAGGGGAGGGAAGGGATAGGATGGGAGGAGGTGAAGTCGCATATCTTCTAGTTAACAGTACTATAAACTTGTGTTCGCTGCTGTCACACTATTTGCTACAAGAAAGATTAAAAGAGATATCGAGGTGGTCCATTTCCAATTTTTCGATTAAAAATTCCATTTTTCAGTTCCCTGTTAATTTCGTTTTCCTGCGCCCCGATTGACTTCTCTTCCCGGACAACGGCTAGCTTAGGCCTACCCAGTATTTCCTGGTTCCCAGATATTTAAAATGGTTCAATCCCGCGTCCCGCGAATAACCGTTCGCCCCTCGCGGCAACGCTCGCTGCAACCCTCGCACGGTCACTACATATAAACGCTGCTGGGGGGGGGGGCGTAGAGCCTCACATCAGCAGCCTTAGCAGCTAACAGGTGAGCAACTGAAATAATTAATACTGCTCGCCACAAAAGCCGGCGCTACCGGCGCTATACCTATCACCCGCGTCGCTTGCCGAGCTGATTGGAGCATGAGATGGTAGCATTTCATCGCGAGCGCTGCTGGATGCTGTCGAGTCAAACTGCATGCAGTACACTCACTGATCTCTATAATATAATCATTATATTATAGAGATCAGTGAGTACACTCAGGAGTCAGGATACGAGATTGAGCACATGAGCGAGAGCGCCATCTGTCGTGGAGTTTGCTGTCGAGTGTGCGTGCGTCCACGCTGTGCTGTGCTGTGCTGTGCTGTGCTGTGCTGCGCTGCTGTGAGAGTTCACTCACTCGCAGACTGACGCATCACTCGCACGGTCGTCGTTGCAGCGTCAGCGTCGTTCGTGATAGCATCGCGCTCCGCTCTCTCGCTCCGTGACACGTGTCCGGCAACAGCGCGTTGCCGACGCACCGCTGCATGGCCGCGGTAACCCAGACGTCGGCTACAGATTCGTCTCGCGGCGGGGACGAACGCGATGGAACTGCGTCTCCGCAAATTCCGCTGCTGCGCCTGCCTGCTGCCCGGCGCGCTCGTCGCTCTGGTGTTGCTGCTGAACGCGCACCTGAAAACCGGTTTCGATCCAACCGGATTCGGTCAGTGGTCGTGGCGGGCGCCCGCTCTCGGATCGTTCTACATGTCCGGCGCCGCCGGACGAACGGTGACGCGGTTCGACTGTCGGCAGATCTTCGACGGCAATGAGACGGAGATCGCGCGGGCCGTCGCTCACGCCGAGAAGCATCCGCTGCCGCCGCTAAACCTCACCGAGTTCCTACTCTCGCTTAGCGACTGCGACGCGTTCCGGACGCGCCGTGGATATCCGAGCGAACCGTTCTCGGACGAGGAGAGACGGTTTCCGCTGGCCTTCACGTAAGTGGGTGTTAAGCACGCAAGTTCAAAGTTGAAAATGTTTTTTTTCAACTCGAAATTTTTTCAACTCGTTACTCATAATTTATTTGTATTGTGGAGGTGTCGCCGTGTGAGCGTCCGTATGTGAGATAGATAGGCTGAATATTGCAAGGTAGCTTCAAATAAACGCCCATGCATCGAAAGACTATCTTTGAGTTAATTGTATCTTTCTGTGAGTTTGCGCACAGTGTGAAATTAAGTTCCCCAGCTGGGACTCGAACCCGGAATCCCGGTGAAGGAGACGGCTGTTCTAGCAATTAGTCCACTGCGCCGTTAATGGTACACCCATGGATTCACACGTACGTGATGTTAATCTGTACGCACCGCCATCTATTTATGAATTGAATTTTTATGAATTATTAACTTTTTAACTTTTTAAAATTTTAAGAGACGTGCTGATTCTGAAAATATCTTTAGTTTTCCGCTAGGCTGCGGAGTTCTCTAGTTATGCGAGTACGAACTAATTCGGCTGAACAACTTTATATATATAGATATAAACATTTGTGTTCCATGCCGTGATGAAAGAAGGGTACATTAACCTGTGCTGATTTTCCAAACGATGTAATATGTAACATATGCTCACATGTTTGGTAAAATAATCGCGACTGTGTGTTATCTATCGGATTTATCTTGTTTGTGCGGTAAAACCTCTCCCGATCATATCAGGAGTCTATCAATAGTCTATTGATAGACTCCTGATCATATGCCAGCTGTCAAGCATTGATCGCTACCATACAGTATAGTAGCCGACACGATGCACACGAAGACCTGCAATTTTGTGGTATTTTACAAGAAAAATACCCCAGCGCAGTAAACTATATTCAAACATACGATCTTACGTTCGCGTACATTCGTGTGTTCTATCTCTCCACACTTTCATCGCGTGTTCTAAGAACTACGTACTTTCATCGTGTGTTCTAAGAACTACATACTTTCATAGCATATTTTAGGAAGGCCACACGTTCGTTGTGTGTTCCAAGAACACCACACTTGCATCGTTCTAAAAACCGAACACCTTTCATCGCGTAAGGTCACACGACTCAGCCCCATGCAAAGTCGCTCGCTCGTTAACGATACGACCCGATACAGCTTATGCGTACGTAAACGTAATCCTATATGAACAAAATTTTTTTTGTAAAAAAGCCAATCAAAATCACTCACTCCTCCATTAATATCGTGGTTAGGCTCCTGAAAATCACGACTTTAACTAGATCCACATTAGGTGAAACCGAATTTACCAGAGACGCAATGCCATGAGTAGGAATGACGCTCCATTTGTACATTTCTGGTCAAAATATTCTCACACAGTTAGCCCTACTCAATAAAGCACGACACATCGGCTCCTCATCTCAACCGCACAAATCTTAGTTTTCAATCATATTATACCCCAACCGGCCTATATTTCTACATTGCAGTATACATGTTGCCACGAGAACGCAGCTAGCGATTCTATTCACGTCTCTGTTTACGTACGCCTGATGTTGTCGTATCAGGAGTGTCATAATATGATAATATTATATATGTGTGTGTATTATCAGTGTCTTTTTTTATGAGTATATGAGTGTCTATATATTATGAGACTCCTGATCGTATTTCAGCATTCTCATGCGAAACGAGGTCGACCAGCTAGAGCGGCTGCTACGCGCCATCTACATGCCGCAGAACTCCTACTGCATCCACGTCGACGGCAAAGAACCGCTGCCGATCCACGACGCCGTGCGGCGGCTCGCCGCCTGCTTCCCGAACGTCAAGGTCACCGACCCGTTCATCATCCTTTATACGGGCGTCAGTCAGTTGACGTCGGAGCTCGGCTGCCTGCGCGACCTGTATGTCGCCGACGCCGCCTGGAAGTACTACCTGAACATCGCCGTCTCCGAGTTTCCGCTGAAGACCAACCGCGAGCTGGTGAAGATCTTCGCGCGCTATGGCGGCCGCAACGAGCTGGAGAGCTTCCTGTCGCCCCTGACGGCGCAGCGCAGCAAGTACCGGTACGTGCACGTGCACAACCGCAGCACGGGCGTCACGCGGCTCGTCAAAACGAAGGTCGCCAAGACGCCGCCGCCGCACGCGCTGCAGCTGTGGAAGTCGAGCCGCTACGTGGCGCTGAGTCGCGCTTTCGTCGAGTTTGTGCTTACGAGCCCGGCGTCGCGCGACCTGCTGGTGTGGCTCAGCGACACGGCCTCTCCGGACGAGTCGTGGTGGGCGACGCTCAACTCCAATTGGCAGATCAAGTCTCCTACTTATGCAAAAGGTACGCACATACGCAAGCACGCACGCGCGCACGCACACATGTACGCGCACACACACGCGCACACACACGCGCGCGCATACACGAACGCACACATGCACGCATACATATTATATATAATATATCTATAAACATCTATAGTTTTCACCCCACTCGCTGTATGGCCGAACGATATTTTTTAGTCTGAGAGTACGATAAGAAAGTGGACTGAAATCATGGAGTACTGAGTTTGCTACAAAGAAATTACTGAAAGTGAGTAATTGGATTGAAAGACTTCGCCACCCGGCGCGCACGAGATGCGGCTCGCGTTGCTACAGCAACGGACGATGCGGTCAATTATGTATGTGCATCTGTGGTGGCAACGGCGAGCGCGCGAGAGATCATGAAATGCGCTCATTTTTTTCATACGCGTCGTCTTCCCGAGGCGAATTCGGTCTTTTTATATGCGAGTACAGGATGCGTCCAACAGGAGGCCGACTGCCGTTTGCAAACGATGTTGACGCGACGTGACGGAGACGGCACGGCACGTGCGCTGAATAGAATTTGCAACACTGTATATTCAATCGCAAGTGCATTGCGGTCAGATGCGCAGACGATGTACTGGGGGATCTATACGTAGTCTTACCGAGCCATGTAACTCATATTAAAGACATAGTAGGTCCATCGATTATGCAACGTTGACGAATGCTAGAATAACTGGCACCTTGTGTAGTTAATAAGTACATTACCTTATAGCCAAATGCGTATTAGTTTGTCCAATATCACTGCTGGTTACTAAGAAATGTCTAATTGAAATCCGTAAATTTGGTAATCTGGCGCCAACGCTAAATTGCTTGCCAACCAAATAAGCCTCAATTTCGGTTCGGTGACCTCACATGTTGCTACAGGATGTTGAGCAGGGAATTGTCCCAGGTAAATTGTTTGCCTAGTGACAGCAGTTGTAATCAGTATTGAGGCACAAGTAAATACCCTTGGTTGCTAATGAATGGGTACCCACATGTCTTCAATTTCGGACACAGGTGTATTCGTTTGACCAATATACATAAATACGTGTAGTGTGGTCTGCTTCCCATGTTTAGTCTGTGGCGTGGTTAGTTCGCAATCCCCACATAGTGTTGGCCCCCAACATGCACAGCCTACTTCATTATCACGAGCGTCCGTGATTAGTACGTGGATTCCACATTCATTACAATCAGAGCTAGCATAGGGCCTACTGTTATGTATACAGTTACGGCACTGTACTATCAGGATGGTACTATCGCTAGCGTGCCAGCTGAGCGGCAGCGTGCCAGCTGAGCGGCAGCGTGCCAGCTGAGCGGCAGCGTGCCAGCAGCAAGAGCTTGCAATAGCTGGAGATGATCTCCCAGCGCGCAGAGATACTGCCTGAACTTAATAAACACGGACGCTCGTGATAAGGTAAAATGACAAGGTAAGGCTATAACGTTTTATCGGGGCTGTCCGTTTATAGTCCGTGGGCGTCCGTCAGTTTTCATTCGTGTGTTCTGCACCATTTACGTGTTTCCCATTTCATAGTGTAATGAACTTGCTGTACGCAGGTTCGTACGATTCGTCAAATTGGGTTCTAATATCCTTTTCACATATTATATGTTGCTTGTAATCTCAAGATCTTCGTATATTCATTTATTCCCCAAGAGTAAAACCATAACGTACGGAATGCGCACTCAGACCACAAGGATCGAAATCACTGACGGCCGAGCATACGTGCAAAAAAGTTCGGTGCACTATAATCTGTATGACACCGCTTCGCCGGTTACGGCCGGTCATAGCCGGTTGGAACTGTCAACAACGGATTTATTTGACCGCGGATTTCAATTGGGCATTGCTTAGTAACCAGCAGTGATATTGGGCAAACTAATACGCGTTTGGCTATAAGGTAATGTACTTATTAACTAAACAAGGTGCCAGTTACTGTAGCATTCGTCAACTTTGCATAATCGATGGACCTACTATTCCTTTAACAGTGTGTATGCGCGTATTGACAACGCACGGATCCTAAAAACAGGAGGAATATTAACCAGATGGTTTAAGTTGCCATCTAAGGTTCAAGCTTCACGTGACGAAATACACCATGAGTCGTGGGTTACTTCTTCTGCGAAAATTTGTTCGGGAAAAACACCCAAATTTCCCGTCTTATTGTTTGTCTTGTGAAACATTATTATCCTGCCCTATATTAACGTGTCCTAAATCAATGCCCCATTTGCTGAAACTTCATCGAGTACTAAGAATTCCTAGTTCCCCGAAAACCTAATAATCTCCCCCCCCCTGCCAAGTCGTGTGCTTGACGACATATAATAGTGATTTTTAGAGCATATCGGATTTGGAAAACTCTTTCCTACTTGATAACAAAGACTTCAATGGCTGGCACCATGCTGCAGTGGAGAAATCTATCTCCGGCCTGCTGTGCTGCCACGTTCTTGCGTGGTTCGTCGCATACGCCCTGCTGTGGCTGTAGTAGTAAAACGTGGTTTCTAACGAGTGCACGCAAGCTTTCAAATGCCCGCCGATAAAATGTCTTTCATTGAACAATCGATTTAAAATCGTGCGCTTTCATCCCCCGATGTTCGTTTCATAAGATATGGACCAGTTGATGCAATGATTATGCGATGATTATGCGGTCATATACACCGCCACTGTCAATCATTCGGTAGTTCCATAGTAAGCGGCGTAATACGTTGACGATACCTGTCTAGTAGTCAGTGTCATTATGTAAATTAACCAAATTGACCATGGCTATGAACTGGGCAGAAATATTTCCATAACTGCTCTGTTGTAAACGTGCTACTGCAGTTTGTTATGTAGAGGGTGGGAAGCGCTGACACTCAGAAAATGGAATGAGGAAGTCGCAAACGACGGACCACAAAACGAAGAAAGTTTACAGTTACTTAGTAATGGGAGTGCAGCAGATCGAAATTTAGTGTAACCAAATAAAACCATTTAAGTCATACATTTGCAATTATACATTACATTTATTCAATTACATTTTAGATTACTCTTTTATTTATTTTAAATTTCTTTAGTAGGCTTACATTATCTCTTACATAAAGGGCGAGTCGTTTTTCGGTCTGTCTGTCTATCTTCTCCCTCCCCGTAAGAGGTCACCCCCAACACGATATATATTCTGAATCAGCATGACGCGACGACAATTTTAGGCCAAAAAATAAACAAAATAAAAAAACTAAAAAAATCTCAAATTACAATTAAAATTATTTTTTATTTTCATAAATGTCCGTAGCCTTGGACGTTTTGGTTAGATGGGTTCGCGGCCCCACTGTTTCTGACAGGCGGTGCGAGTTTAGCGCTAGGGACCAGTCTACTTCCTGGCTAGCATTGGTTTATAATTTTATGACGTAATGGAGTGTCGCCAGCGAAAGTCACTGGAAAATAGAAACGTTTCTAAATATTTTGTCATCGAGGTTGTCGTCGGTCGTCGTCGCGTCAGTGTGCAATGGCTCATAGAAAACAATAGTTTCTAATTTTCGGAAAAGTCGTTGTCGCTGCAGTGTGTCTTGGCCTTAAGACATGTGACATAATGTGTCTATAATAGCTAGAATTTATAGAATTGTAACTGAAATCGTTCGCTCCATATGATAGTTAGTACACGTTCCTACCGGTCATAGCATAATAGCGGGAGTGGGCGGGGTCTATTTTTATCTTCCAATCTCAGGTCGGAGCAATTCCTCTGTTTAGACGCATGTATCAGCATGACGCGACGACCATTTTAGGCCCCCCAAAAAATAAAAAAAATTCAAAAACTACAAAAATCTCAAATTACAATTAAAATTATTTATTATTTTCATAAATGTCCGCGCGGTCGCGCTATATACCCTCCTACTAATTCACTGCTCATCCATCGAGTGCATGTTGTTTGCATTTTTACCCCGGGCATCGCCGGGTAGCCCAGCTAGTACTCTCCTAAAGGGATCATATCTAGAATATGGTGGCGGTGGCATAGAGTATGGCGCAGGGTCTGTTTCGGTATCGGCTTCCTTCCTTTGTGCATAGAACGCACACTGAGGACGGAGGTCCGACTCATGGAGTCCAGATTACAGGACCCAGCGGCCTATACCGCCGAACTGGTGGACGGATGGTGGTGCCGGCGCAGGAATCCAGCGCATACGGTCTCGCGCCAGACCGCTGGTCGGCTGGCTCCGTCGTCGGGATTCCGGTGGTCTGCGGGCCGGCTGACTCGGTCGTCATCGGCAGGCCACGCCCCCGGCCATCGTGATGCCGCCGCCGACTGCCGGTGTGGCCGAGAAAAGGTTTCCACAGCCGCGACCCGCTGTGGAATACCACGGGACGTAGAACTCGGACGCGTAGCCATCGCTTCTTGTGGCACTCCCTCTTCCATTTCAATAGTGTGGTCGTAGCTGGTGTGAAAACAGATTAACAACTATAGCGTACCGGTGTGCACACAAGGCGTAAGCATATGATGCTGAAAATGTGTACATGGTCAACATTGCGATACTGACCCGGCTACGGAGACCACTGTAAAAGCATAAATTTGCACAGAATACATAATCAATGTACAACTAACGTACAACGTACCCTAGGTCCGCAAGAAGTGAACAACCAAGCCTTAACCAGCAATTATGAAGAAACGAATGAAATGTGCATTTATATACCCCGGGCATCAACCACAAGCCGCTAAGTCACTCTTCGAAACTCCATTATAGACGGATTGCGACAGGCGTATCCGGTTCCGGAACAGGAGATGGTAGGAATGTAGCGTATATAACGGCTCTCACTGGGATTGAGTTGATGGTCGGAAGACAGCAGGCGGGGAATACTACGGGGCGAGCAGACGACGCTCATTTCGGCTCAACGGCCATCAGTTACATCCGTGTCGTAGCAATTTCGTGTGCGTCTTCAACACGGCGCCTAAAGTTACGGTCGTGTTGACAAGACTTGCATCCAACAAGTCTATACACGTCTTACATACAGAATCAGTAACCTGCTAAAGCGACTGCTGAGATTGTAGCTCACATGAAGGTGCCGCATCGAAAGGCGGGACAGTGGCAGAAAGGTAAAGTGGCAGTGGGCGCTCACGGCGGACATGAAATATTCCGTATACTTACCCCCAGTACGTCCCTTATATCACTTACGTTAGTACGGTGTCTCTTCACGTCGTTATAATTAAGAACGTTATATTAACGAATTAAAGAGACAGGGACGGCAGGTAATCTAATTCTCGCTTAGTCGGCTCTTCGCTCCGCCACGTCGTGCGTGCGGTGGAGCAAACGGGCAACGTATAGAGGGTTCCGCGACTTGGTCTAAAAATAGCAATATTACCTACAATCCCGTGCCGCCAGCCATACCGGTTACAAATAGAGCAAACACGCGTCGCGTATAATGTGCCACTCTGCACAATCAACCGATTTTACATTGGCTATAGTGTTATTATTGCAATAGACATTAGAAGTAAGAGTATCCAGATTTATCAGACAGGTTTATCAGCGTGGGTTTTAGGTGCTACAATTCAATGAGGCTGCCATACAGTCGGGAGATTCGTAGATTGAGCAGATTGAAAGATTGCAACACATATTATGTTCATAGACTTGAGTTTGTTTACATCGTGAGAGTTCAGAAATTTCACCGATTTTACTGCATCTACTCTAGCTATCAAACGCAGCTTTTTATAATAGCTAGTGTATGCACGTTTGTCGACTGTCTGTGGTGTACGTAGTATGGACAAGTACTTTGATTCACTAGACAACGTAGTCAAAGCACGCTATCTCGAGAAAAATGCGTGCATTGGGAATCGACACCCGTACGAGAATGGAGCGAGGACCATAACTTGTGCCCATCACGTACTTATTAGGATCTCGTGAATTGACTATCTAACATTCTAGCCGAGTCAATTTTATACTCTCAAGGACTTTCAGAACCACAAAAGTCTGGATGCCTACGATCGACTGTTCTGCGGTTGGGTTAGTGGTGTATATCGGTGAACAGTGAGAGTCCCATCTACGTTATCCGAGCACGTGTTATACACTCCCTGTCTCTGATTATACCGGCCATCTCTCTATCCGTGCATGGATCACGATGCGATAAATGGGACAGGCATCATGTCAGCACACTGTAATTGTAAAGCCGGGCTTGGTGAATTCTGTTCACGTCATGTTGCCTCGGTGCTATTTTATGTAGAGTATGCTACACGTGCAAGAAAAATCACCACCCCACTCAAACAGCTGCCTACTGGATGCCGGCGATATATGTATATAAGCGTAAATGTGTAGCGGCGTGCGCCGTGCGTGCGGTGTACCTGTGTGTTGCAGAGGAGCATTTGACCGGCATTTACAGGTAATTATCGGCAATACTATGCGAAAGAGAGTAGAGAAACATTAAGACATTGGTAGTAAATACATTTCGTGTTTATTCAGCATTGCTTTTTTATTGAAATTGCTCCAAGCGTCTGTGTTCCGCCTGGTCTCTCGTCACTTTACCTTGTGCTGTGATCACGCTAGGCAGCCTAAAAAAGCTGTGTGGCTCTCTCTGATACCGATTGCTGCAGTTGACAACACCGCAGGAGAGCGGCGTTGTGATGCATTTGCTTAATAGGCGAATATAAAATGAGCAGAGGTGCGTTGCTCAATGTACTTGTACCATGCCTGAACTGGTTTCTGTATCCGTCATGGCCGGCGGCGTTGCATTGTGGGTAATATGAAATATCGCGGAACCCTCTATACTAGCAGCTAATCTGTCTAAACATGGCGTCTCGTTCGTGTGTTGCAGAACGGAAACGCGACGACCGCTACGTGGCGCGCGCCGTCATGTGGCAAGGCGACGGCATGACGTGCCGCGGCAAGTACGTGCACAGCATCTGCGTGCTCGGCGTCGGCGACCTGCCGACGCTGCGCACCTACTTCGGGCCGAAGCTCATCGCCAACAAGTTCCAGCGCGACTACCAGCCGACGGCCTTCGACTGTCTAGAGGAGCTGCACGTGAACCGCACGCTGCGGCCGCGAGAGCTCGACTGGGGATTCTATGACCGACTGCTAAATCTGAAGCCCTACGAGCTGCCGTATAGCTCGTGACGTTGACGCTGTGCGCGCGTGTACGTGCGGGCGTGCGTGCGTGCGTGTGTGCGGGTGCGTTAGCTCCGAGATGCGCGCCAGAGCGCGAGAAATGGAAATGGCTTAACTTCAGGACCGTAGCCAGAGTTAATTCCCAGCCGGAGGTTGGGGATGGTGTTTTGTGACCTGAGTCAAGTCGAATGTCTTTGCGGCTTCAAGAAATATACGGCATGAGGGATTAGTTCGTTTTTTTTTATTACCTTTACGTTAGGGTTATTTACTTTTAGGCATGTTTTTTTCTCTAAATTTTTTTTTCGCTACTCTCTATCCTCACCGAACCCTCGGAGCCAACGGTCCTGCTTCATCCCCTATTAGCCTCAGAGATTCGTGTTTCCAGTATCTTGCATGCCAGATACCGGCAACCCATCTGCCAGACTCTGTGACAAGGATCTCCGTCATTGGAGACAACCATCTACAGGTCTTACGTAATACCTTGTTATTATGGATATCTATGATATCTCGCTAGGCGTAACAGAATTTGCGCTGTCAGGTGCTTCAGTCACCTGATTAAAGTTTTTTTGGCGAGAGTTTGGCAGACACACCTGAAGCGCGGAAAAACAACTCGACGAAGACACATTCGGGAGCGAGGAAAATCTATAGTGTACGCTAATTTAATTTCAGCAACTCATCACCTACTCTGTAGAGGCGTGTCGGTGTGATTTTAGGAACAGGACAGCTCTCTACGGAGAAGACGCGTGGCGGTTCTTGTGAGTTGGCTACTGCTATGCTGAGATGTGTACTAGTTCGAGCCTCAGACACCGAGTCGAAAGCTTATTTACTGCCGAACGTGTGTGTGTGTGTGTGTAGATCACGTCGCGTACTCAGGTAATAAGGGAACTTTGCCGACTCGATCGCCGACTCGTGGACGTTTCGCGAACGAACCTCTTCCAAAGAACTTAATTATCTTTTAAATAATATTTGTCGGGATATCAATCAGAGGTAGAGTAAGCGTAAGCAGCCATAACCATGTTGGCTATGCGATTCGCCTCAGATGCTGAACGGCAGCCGATCGTTATTGGTGAATGCCGAGTGTGGATGTTTTTCCATGGAAAGCAAAATCATTTGATATAATATTATACTTATAAGTGATTCGACCACATTCTCCGCATAATGGTAAGGTGCTATAGTCATAGTTTAAACGCGCGGGGACAGCTAGTTTTTTTGCAGAAATGCTTCCGCTTGTTTTACGCCAACTGCACGGTTAATTTTTGCTGTATATATATGGGCAGGGTTTTCGCGCCTGCTTGATTGGGAGCCTCACGTATGGATTGGCGATTACGTATGGATGTACGCGCGCGCTGTATTCAAGGCGAAACGCTGGCGCAATGCAAACGTGAAGGCATTGAAACCGTACGGTCGTTTACCAACTCTGTAACAGAGTGTACGCGCGTGCGTGCCTCACTGACACGAAAACGTGTTAAACGTGGGACCAAAAAGCATATGCAAATGACTTGGACCTATGCACGTAGTGGGCCTACAGCTATCTTACTCAACAATATGTTTCAGCAACTCGACTGCGTGCCGATATGCGTTGTCCGTAGGCCCTCGCAGACAAGGTTGCGAACATACATGTACAGTATGTAGTGAGATCATATTGTTCGTAAGCGTCTCGATCCATGCTTCAAAGAAACCATTGGTGTTCAAGGCATACGGTTCATCGATTTGAAGTCATTAAAAGTACATTCCGCGCTTAGTTCAAATTAAGTTAACCAGTTTAAGGTTGTGTATTTGTACCCACCGCTACATGTACGGGGTGTAAAAACTTGCTCAAGATAGCGATTTGACCTTAATTCCTATTTTTGACCCGGAATACGTGCGGAACGCAATTTGTAAACAGTGTCTTGTATTTGTCCGTCCTCTGTTTTCCCGCCAGGTGTCGCACCTGTCGTCCATACGAATGTAATGTGCTTAAACCTATTGATTGAAATTTCGACCAGATATGTGTATAAGGTGACATGAACATGTTACTCGTCCTTGCAGATTGTTTTTCAACGATATAGCATTCTACGGGGCGCCATGCAGGACAGGGCTCAATTTTGTCTAACAAAACTCAATTCTGTCTCACAAAACTCACTTTTGTGCACACAACTCAATTCTGTCTCACAAAAGTCAATTTTGTGAACACAAAACTCACTTTTTGTTGAACACATTCAAGCTCATTCTGTCAATCCTGATCCATCAAAACTCATTTTGTGGAACACAAAACTCAATGCTGTCTATGCCGGGCCCGATCAAAACGTCAATTTTGTAAACACCAAAACTCAATCTCTGTCATTCCGGTTCGCACAAAACTCGATTTGTTGCCAACAGATAATGGCACACGATGTGCAGAAGCGTGCTACCTATTGGGTCAGAAGAAAAAGATGCGACGCATACACATTTTTCCAAGCCGCCAGTTTCTGACCAAATGGTAGCGTCCTTCTTACATGGCGTGGTGCCATATTTTGGGCACAAATGCGAGTTTGTGGAACGCGGCTTGACAGAATAAGTTTGTGTACAAATTGAGTTTTTGTGGAAGCTCGGATTGACAGATATGAGTTTGTGTTTACAAAAGAGTTTTGTGGTACAGGATTGACAGAATGGAGTTTGTGTTCACCAGAGAATTGAGTTGTTGTGGGATAATTTGACATGAATTGAGTTGTTGTGTTCACAAAATTTGAGTTTTGTGGACAGGGATTTGACAGAATTGGAGTTTTGTGTTCACAAAACTTCATTTTTGTCAATTTATAGTCGTGAAAAAATGCCTTGTCCTGCAAGGGCGCCCTAACATGCACACCTGTAATCATTTTTAGCTAGCTGACGAAGTGCAGCTGCAGCTTGTAAATCTGCATGATTGTCGTTCTGTCCCGCCGTACCGCCGGCCCGTGCGTTCCGTGCGTCGTCCCGATCCGTGTCCCGTCGTCATCAACTAGTTGGCACAAATTTAACGCGCTCGACGTACGGGTCTTGATATTCGGGGACGATCGGGGGGGGATCCCCGAAAATGACTCGTGATGTGCGAATTTGGGGCCTCAGGGTGCAAAGGTTTCAAGAGTGTCAATGGTGGCGTGGAATATTTTCCCCTTAACTTAAGTTACACGGAAGTAAATAGGAATTGGCGGCATCAAATCTCAACGGCTAGACCGTACGCTCTTAATATTCGATGTATAGTGTGATAGGGAAGAAACCATCACCAGCGCAAAATAGGGGGTCACAGGTCAAACGGCAGTGGGGGATAGGTCAGATATCAGACATTTTCTGAGGACATGGTCTAAAAGGACCGAGTGGTAAAACCTTTTTGTTCATCACCGCTGACCTACCGTTTTATCACTTTTTATGAAAGGACCATGAAATCTACTTCCCGCCGACGTGGGAAGAGTAAGTGTCTGATACCTTTGACGCCTCAAGAGGAGGGTTAAATGGATGTGTTGACTGTTAACAAAGGACTGAACCTTTGCTATTAGAGCCCTCCACCCGCCTCCCCCGCCCCCTTCCTCCTCCACCCCTCACCACCCTACCTCACCACCACCGACATACGCTCGCGATCGTCGACGCATATCCATGAAACACGATTATAATACACAGCTGTATCTTTATTACTGTACTACCAGTAGGTATAGCAAAGCTAACTATCATAGATTTTAGATCTGTATTAGTAGTATCCTAGATATATATGCTCTGAACGCGAACGCGGTGGCAGGAGGGCGCACTTGATTCGGTTGCACTTGTTAATTTGTACACGTTTTGCAGTTACAAATTTCTGATACAAATTATTTGCATTATTTAAGCAGATAAGTACCGTTACATATGAGTATATATGAAGATGATTAATCATCTCCTGACATTATGATAGCGTTTGTCATACCCATATTATGACGAGCACGCTACAGTATCGTTGACCCGTATAAAAAAAAAAGCCGACGCGAAATACGCGCGAACCGAGTAGGTCTATACGTATTTGAATGACGCCGGTGTCAGGGTTGTGATCAGTTTTGTGTTTACCCAACACGCGTACGGTAGCCTACCATTATTTAATATAAATAAATAAATATATATCTATATATATAATATACAGGTTATATGCAGAGATTTAGGGTGTACATGTGTATGTGTGTGTGGTGGTGGTGGTGGTGGTGGTGGTGGGGGAGGGGTCTTTCAGCTGCTAAAGATCGTACTGAGGGATCAGACAAAGCAGCGGTGATGAAAGCGCTGCGCTCCTCAACTGAGGCGCGCATCCCAACGACCCCCTAAAGTCCAGACCAAGGTATAGTGACCACAAGTGTGCACGGAGATATGGGTGCGCAGTGTATAATTCAATAAAGTATGTACCAATAGCTGGGACATCGGTTTGTATGTGTCGTGTAAATTGCTCTATGCGCGACAGTGGCTTACTATACATGATAATGAAGCGTGATGTACTCGCCTATCGATAGAAGTAACATTTAAGCATTCGCAAAATTTGTACGCCTTCTCTCTTTCTCTCTTTGCCTCTCTCGATCGCGCCTTCTCTCTCTCTCTCTCTTTGCTTCTCTCGATCGCGCCTTCTCACTCTCTGCCTCTCTCTCTCTCTCTCTCTCTCTCTCTCTCTCTCTCTCTCTCTCTCTCTCTACGTCTCTGTCTCTCTTTTTTCCTCTCTTTCTCTGTCTGTCTGTCTGCCTGTTTTTTGTCTGTCTCTCTCTCTCTCTCTCTCTCTCTCTCGCCCCTCTCTCTATTTTTCTCTCCTTCTCTCGCGCGATCTCTTAGTCTTTCTCGCTCTTTCTTTTTCTCAGTCTACCTCTCCGTTCACAAATACTTGATTATTACGAAAATAATAAACTTGTTTACAATGCTAATTTGATAATTTTAAAGAAATTCTCGATAGGCCAATCAGAAACACTTCGAAAAAAACCCGCAAATGTTCGAAAAAGCATGAAAACATATAGAATATATACGGAGCGAGTTGAAATTGTGTACAAGTTTACTGTATTCGGAAATTCTAGGAT